GTGAAAAATGTTTTTCCCTTTTCTATTACACAAAAATCACTTATTTTACCAAACACTACCAACTTTTACTCAAAATTACGTTTTTCTCAAACAGTATTAACTTTTACTACTAATCACTTTTTCCTTACATATCCAAAAGTTTTTTTTAAAGCGAAGCAGTTGCAAATACTCCCTAACAATTCGGGACAAGAATCTACCAAGAACAAGAGCAATCCACCCAGGCTCAGAAGACCATAAATCCATAATGCAAGATTGCAAGACATCAAGACACTGTTTTTAACTTTTTACCCGTAATCCATAATCCAAACAATTTCAATAGAATTCAGAGCCCGTTTGGTAGCACCAAAATCGGTTGTTTTGGCTGATTCTGCTGAAATTTATGATATTCTGGCTGGAGTGGCTGTTTTGGCTGATTCTGCTGATTTAAGAAAAAAATATTTTAAAAATATATTTTATTAATAAATTAAAGAAAAAATTATATGTAAAAATAGCTAAAATGGTCCTCTACAGTAACTTCAGCCAATACAGCCAGAAAAGTAACTCCAACCTTACTTTTTCGGCTTATTACACAATTCAGCGCGCGAAAGTAAAAGTTACATGTTTGGTGAAAAAGCTGGCTGATAAGCCTGATAAGCCGAAAACAGAGTTCTCCAAACGGGCTCTCAATCATAAAAAAAGGGAAAAGTACGAAAAAGGTACTTGTGGTTGGACCCGTTTTCAAATAGGGTCATGTATTTCATTCTTTATCAACGTGATTCATGTGTTTGAATTCTGTTATCACAAGAGGGTCACGCCGTTAAAAACGTCTTAAATAGACCGTTAAAAGTAACTCTGATTTTCAAAAGTGCCCAAACTTAAAAGAAAAATACTGAAAGGTGCGCCTCGTCAAGATGACCTCCAAACCACCTTCGGCTTTGGATAACAGAATTCAAACACATGAATCACTTTGATAAAGAATGAAACACATGACTCTATCTGAAAACAGGCCAACCACAAGTATCTTTTCCGTACTTTTACCAAAAAAAACTCCCAAATACTTTATTTTCATGGAACTAAAACACATGGAATGCAGTCCTGTCCAGATGTCTCCTTGTCTCGGGGCTCCACTTGAATCTTTATTCACATACGTGTAGAAAAACTACACGCTCAACAATAGAATTGCAGAGTGATACTGCAATATATTGCAATAACAAGTACGAAGTATATTTTTATATTTGCTACTCAAATAATTGAAACACAAGTATTGACACGTACCATTTCAGTCATTCAAACATTTGAACATGCAAGTAGCACATGGCACATTACCATCATAGAGGTCAAATTAAACTAATACTAGTATTTCACATAATATACTTATAAATTTATCACTTGAGAATAGGGATGTCAAAAAAACCCGACCCGCAATGACCCGCCCTGGCCCGAGACATTTGGGGCGGGTCCGCCCCGCCCCGTCTTGCAAATGGGGCGGGTCCGCCCCGCCCCGCCTATACAATGGGGCGGGTCCGGGTATTAGAATTGACCCGTTCCGCCCCGCCCCGACCTGCCCCGACCCGTTCAATATATAAGTATATATACTTTTTCTTAAATTATACTACAAATACACTTCAACATACATATGTGTGTATACAATAAATCACAAATGCTTTGATTTTATAATATATCAATATATATTAGAATGAGATGAACGACGGATTATCATAGTCTTCTTTATATATAGCATTTTAATACATATATTCAATGATTAATATAATTATTAATTATTCAAGTCTGAGTAATTTTTTCTTAATTTTTGAAATTTTTAGCGTATCGTGAATTTGATTTAATATATTAATTTTTAATTAGTATTTAGAGATAAACTTTATGTAAATTCAATTGGTAATAACTTCCCACAAATAAAAATACATACTAGGTAATTAGGTTTCGGCGGGGCGGGGCGGACCCGCCCCGCCCCGCCCCGCCCCGCATGGGGCGGGTCATGGGTCAACAAGTTTGGACCCGTGCAGGTCACGGGGCGGGGCGGACCCGCCCCGCCAAGTCACGGGGCGGGTCTGGGTCTTGTAGTACCCGCCCCGCCCCAACCCATTGCCATGCCTACTTGAGAAATATGTAAATACATCATGAGAAAGTTGTCAAGGTTTCATATAAAAAAATACGGAGTACATGTAAACATATCATATACGGAGTAATCATTACCCTAACTTAATTTCTTTGTAATTCGGGTCATGCGTAAAATGTCCATAACTTCAAAACCGACCCGTTAATATAATATCGCACAGACATAATCATTAAGCTGAAATTTATACCCAATAAGGGAATAATCATACATAGGGGTGTTTGGAATTGATTCTAGCTGCTTCTACTTCTTTATTAAAGCAGAAACAAAAACAGAATCAGTTTTCAGAAGTCGGTCTCCCCCATATTCTAAAAAAGCTGCTTCTAGGAGTAAATTAGAGCACCAGAAGTGCTTCTGCACTTTCACTCAAATGCTCAAACTTTTGCTTCTGTTATCTGAAGGAGCAGAAGCAATTTTAACTTTTAAGAATAAGATCCAAACACCCCCATAATTCCTGTTCAAATTCATGTGCCTCATTAAATGCTTCTTTCTTTAGTCTTTTGATTTTAGCCTTTACTCTTAGGACTGGACTCTAGCTAAGGATACAGATAAAGTAATTTGGACAGGAGTCTAGTTACATCGCCCACCATATAACATAGGTCATTAGATAATAGAGATTTCTTGAGACTCTGGTTGGGGTTGTATGCTAGCATACTATGGAAGAATGAATCGTCAGACCGAAACTGAAATTACCCAAACTTAACGTGGGAGCCGTAGTCAGTAAAACTAACTCGTTCTCAATTCGTGGGCAAACAAAACTATCTGAGTAGAACTTGAATAATCTGCCTCCAAAACATATAAGCGTGGGTATCCAAAACTAGATCCCAAGTCCTAGAATAAGGCCCTTTATGCTTAAATTATTAAAACTTGTAAAAACTTTTCGGAATATTCACAAAACATATATACATATATGTAGTTATTCCACGCATACGTGCAAATATTACTACACCCTCATTAATAATATGAACTTTTACTTGCAACTAACGAAATGTTACCTTTATTTTGTATTCATTGTTTAGGAACATAAAAACGTTATTTATATTATGCACGTATACTTCATAAAAGTATATTAAAATATAAAGGTGTTAAAAATTCATTTCCATTTAATGCATTATTAAGCTTCCAAAATAAAACTTATTGTTTTTCAAGAACCAAAATAAAACTTGCTTAGAATGCAGAAGTTATATTTCTTAACACATGAAACCGTAACTTTAATAATAATAATATGTACTCTGTATATGAAAATAAATATACGTACTGATCGAGTACTCTTATTTTCATCTGAAAATAAAATGACACTTCAATAAAATTCATAAAACGGTATTAACATCTTTTCTTTTAATAACGAAAATAGCTAGTGTCATTTTAGAAAGTCATATTGTAGACTTGTAGTACTGAATTTAAAATAGAGACGTCAAATGAAATGTGGATGTGGACTAAATGACGTAAAAACAATGTTAATAATTTAATATGATCGATGATTAGTGAATTAACAAAGAACATTATTATAAGTTCCAGATTGGTGAATACTTCCATCGACGGGTATAGTTTGGACTTTGGAGTACAATGGGAAGACTTAACCACTATAAGAAGTACCCAATAGAGAAATTAGAAGACTGAAGACGGACCATTCTCAATTCTCAAAAGTCTAACAAGAATAAAAAGGAAAAGAAGAAGCTTATAACAGAAGCTTCTCATCATTTTTACGTCATCCCACTTATAATAATGCTCTTTGTTAATTAGACTTATTAACTGAAACAATGATTTATTCTTTTAATTTGTCCTAGCTATTTGAATGTAGAAATATTTTACACGGAAATGAAATGTCACAAAAATAAATAACTAGATTTAATTTACCGTGATTCTACCACCTTCGTCATTCATAGTATATTACGGAGTAGTATACTGGTGAACTACCCCCAAAGTAGCTGTTTTGAGAGTTGGCCGCCAGAATAAACCCTAGCAGGTAATGCGACATCCGCTCTAAGATATTCTTGGGTAGGGGTATGATCCAATTTGATTGTTATTCTTTGGTTGTTGTGTTTGTTCTGTTCTATTTTGGTTGTTTCCCAAGCTTTGGCGCTCCAGTGTGTTTTGTCTCCGATCTCTCGGTGTGGGAATTGTGTTGGTGCTCTGGCCAATTTCACCTGATCAAGGATTTCTGTCTGTCTTCTTTTGAATTGTGTAGAGAATGGTAGAGGTATAAATATTATTTTTGATTTGACCTGTCTCTACATCTATCCGGAACGAAGTAAGAAAAAGAATTTTGTATTCACCCATATTCCGTCAACTTGTCCTCCTCCAAAACCACCTCCATGCCGGGAGAAGTTTTGTGGAAAGGATTTATTTCAGTGTTATTTTTTTTTAATAATACTTGTTTTTTTATTTTTCTTCGAGTAGGTTTGGTTTAGATATCTGGACATTTGGAATACTTTTGATGATAGGTAGTGTTTCGATTCTGGTTGTACGCTTAAAATTGTCTGTTTCGTGTCTAGAGAGTCAAATTGTTTTGTATAAGGTGACTGACTCTATATCTATTTCTAGTGTTTACGATCAGATCTGTAATACCTGTCTGAAAATTGTCTAGTATGCTTTCTTGACATTATTATAAAAGCCACCCTTTTATATTAAAAAAAACTAGATTTAATTTTAGTGTATTGAATTTCTTTCTTTTATAAGTTTCGCTCTTTGAATTTTACTTTAAGTTGAAATTAGTTGCTATACGGCCTATACCTGTTTCTATCATTCTAATATAATTGGAACTTTGGATGTACATTTGTATTAAGGTAACTCAATATCATACCGGCTAAGCCAGAATTTCAGGTGTTACAATTTTTTTGAGTAATCAACAGTTAGTATAAACGAGTTTTGATTTAATAGTCAAAATATAAAATTAATTGTAGGAGGAAGAGAGTATGAAGTGAACCCGATCAACTAGTTCCGATCCCACATATGTGGAACCGCTACCAGATTTAAACAAGTCCCGGTCTGATTCCGGAAGTGTATTAAGCCATACTCTGATCTATTTTTATAGTAACCTTCTACCGATTTTACTTTGACAGTAACTTTTCTATCCGAATTATGAAAGAAATATACACATCATATCTTTTTCGAGCTGTACATATGTCAAGCGCATCAGATTTAGATTACAAAAAACCAACCAACGTGCACTACCCCACACTCCTCGTCTACTCTTCTAATAATCACTCTGTGTCTTCCTCCACTTCCAGTTCGAAGTCATCAATTTCTTTGAAGTAAGCCTTTTGTTTTTCTACAAAATCTTTATCAAAAGACCAGTTATTAAAAGGCTGCTGCTTCCCAGAAGACCTCTTCTGCAAGAAATAAGTTGAGTCAAGTGTGTAGCCATTTGGATATTGAAACACTATAAATTGGATCGAAGTATCATTGAAGTTGAGGAAATTTCTAAATTAACTGAAGCTTTAAACATATTATTGCTAACTAAATAAAAGAAATAAACGGAATACAAAGGACTATAATGATCGTCCTCAACAAGTTAGAAAAGTACTCCCAATCATATTTTTCTCATAATGAACAAATTCAACAAACACAATCACTAAATTAGTTTTTGGTTAGCAAAAGTCCTGATGGTAAGAAAAATGACTACCATACATCCATTAATGGTTGTTTTGGGCAAAAAGGACTAAACAAGGACCGAATTGTAAGAACTAAAAATACAACAATTACCCAAAGCAATTTATACCACCAATTTCTAAAAAGAGGAATATTTACATACCTTGGGAAGCTTTTTATTGGGATCAGTCAATGATCCTAATGACTCAGCTTCACCAGCTTCAATAGCCTTGCTCCTATCAAAGATATTTTTAAAGAAGCATCAGTAATTGAATCATGAAAGTATTTTGCTCATTTATCTAAGGAAAACATATCCTTTGACTCCTTTCTAAGTTAGCTCGAGAAGACTAATAATAACTCAGCAAATTTGGCAAGGGGAAATTAGTCTAGAAAACCAAAATTAATTGCATGTTTTGATTACAGAATAAGATTCCTCACATTAGGCAACTAGGTCCATAGGCCAAGAAACAAGTTATCTCAAAGAAGCACAACTGCCTACATCTTCATTCTTTATGTGAATTTGGTTGGGAGATGATTTGTCACTAAGAATATACGTAATTCGAGATACAAGCTCTTTTATCCAAAAACAAAAATCAAGAAGTTGAAACTGGAAAATTTGAATCATAAAGTTTTGAACAAATAACGACGTAAAAAATGAAAACTAATTTGCAATGAAAATGTGCAAACACAAACAAGGCGCATTTGATTTTGGCAGACCAGAGAGAAAGAGCAGAACATACCTATTATTCCTTGTGCGTGGCAAAGGAGGGCAACTAAAAACAGAGTTGTCCAACTTTCTTCTTCCCCTGGTCTTCCTTAATGTTGAGCATTTGATGGGTGCATCAGACAGTTCGTTGGCCATTATTTTATCACAAATACTGGCATCTTTTTCACATGGAATTCGTCTGTCCTTCTTACCCTTGGGAGGTGGGGAACTGGGCGAACTAATACTTTGCTTTCCTTTATTCTTTTTTTTCTCAATTGAAAGTTGGCTAGCATGATCCATACAATCCTTCTTGCTACCATCAGAAACTACATCTACTTTGCCCCTTTTATTTTTACGAATTGTAGAGCAGTGAAAAACTGTAGCATCACTTTCTCCTGTAGGTTTTGAGAGAGTCTCACTTTGACCATAAACTTCTGGTTCACCATCTGCAGAATCTTTGGAGAGAAGGTACACATTGCTTAAATATGGCATGAGACATTGGACAAATATCTTGAATGTATGTGCTCAATAATTACAACATAACAGAAAAAACAAAGGGGGCAAATTGGAATGATGCCGGCATCAAATTTATATTACGATTTCAGAACCACCTATTCTGAGCAGTGAAAGATGAAGGGGAAGACCAAAGTCACGAGATGAAATGGAGGTTTGATTCGTGCACATACGATCTAAAAAGTATATTGTCAATCAAACCTATAATCCCGGACAAAGCTTATTGTCTCTGAGCATAACCAGAGACACTTATATTCGTTTGCATATCTCAAATAAAAAATAGAGATATGCCAGCTATAACCCAATTTCAAATTTAACATAACAGGTTGCTCTGTGACAATTAATTACCTTAAGGACACCTAAACATTTGTTCATTCAAAGTGTCCCACCATAACATTTGAATTGACAAAACTAGTCTTATTTTACAAAAAGAAAATAATAAAATAAAAAAGTGCAAAGAGAGGGGTTACCTGAAGTGCTATGTGATGAACGAGACGAGACAGGGATGCGAAGAGGAGCAGATAACCCGAGCTTTCTGGCGTTCTGTATTAGGACAGGAGAGGAGGATCCGACACTGGTGTCCGACAGCAAAACTGAAATTGGGGATTTCAGAATGGTTGATTCAGTGCTGGAGGAGTAGGTCCCAAACGAGGGGGCACTGGAGGCATTAGTAGTGGAGGAGGAGCAGAGTTTGCGAAGAGTCTCGATTGGAGTGATATTAAAGTTTGAGATGTCTGTAAATGGCGCTCTGTTAGCCACCGTGGTTTTAGAATTCGGATCTCTTCTCAGGGAATTTGGATTCCATTCAGTATTCATGGTTCAACCATGCGGATCTAGCATTACCATCCAGTGGGGGCAAAATATAATGTAAAAATAGCATCAATTGCAGCAGGCCATAGAGAATATTATGAGAATATGTGAAAAAGAGAATAAAATATTCACATTACTTGTACAAAGCAAGAGAAACAACTAAAAAACAACACATGCGCAACAATCTAAAATAATACCCGGTATTTGGGCAGTAAAATGGTGGGGGTTTCAGCCTTATAAACCCTCACACTAAACTATGGAGTATCAAATTGAAGGTTTTACTCATTTAATTCACAACAACAATCTAGGGAGAAATCTGGGGATATTCCAGAACTCAGAATTCAGAGAAACAACAACCTGAATTGTACCGAACTAAATCCGAACTCAGAATTCACAGCCACCTAAAATTTCACAAGTGAATTCCAGAAATCTAGGGAGAAATCTTAATGAATTCACAATAACCACAACCATTAAATTCCAGAAATAATAAGGGCATAAAGCTGAACTAAATAAAACAATACAACAGTAAAAATGAAAGTAAAATGCATACCTAAAAATCGAAGCACAGGCGAACGGGGGCAGCAGGGAAACTGCGGTCTGCGAAATAAAAAGCTGCAGGGTCGATTCGGCCGATAACGAACTTTACGGCGAAGTGAAGAACGCCGACAAGTGTGAGTGGAAGTAGGGCTCAACTTGTCTTCTTCCCTGCTGATCTGCTTCGACAGTACGATTCACGGTGAGGATGGACGAACTGAGGTAGACGGTCGTGTTTCTGTTACCGCTTCAGGCCTTATCTGCTTCTCAGTTCTCACATTGAGCGCCAATTTTTCACTTTTTGGGTGTGGGCTTGGCTTTATTATCCATATACTTCTAGAATTTTGTATGTGGGCCTCGGTCCTAAATGGCCTAAGGCCCAATCATGGTTAGTCGGCAATGTCTTAGCTCAGCCACGATCCATTAAATGATGGATTTTTTTCTTTTTCTTTGGAGGGTGGATGAGTCGAAAGAAGTGCATATAATTTTGACAAACACATTTTTTAAATAACGTTCTTTGATGTATCCCATGAATATTACTCGTGAATCTTCCTTTTAACTACTCACATTAATAGTTATTCCACGATCGAGTAACTAAGTACAAAAATAATGATCAACAACAATGACTTATAATTATGATAATAAATTATATGTTATACTTTATAAATTAATTTATAGACAATTTTCATTGAATTTAAGAGTTATATTTAATTTAATTTAACAAATATCAACATGAGAGGGTATATAGTGAGAATGACCAAAACTTAGGGGGTAACCAATTTAATTTTGAAAATGCAAGGTTGCAATAATATTTATGACATAACCTCGGGAGGCTAATACGGAGTAGTAATTTTCCCAATGTTTAATGACTTCCGAACACTTTTGGCTTCTTTTAATATTAAGTCTCAAAAAATCAAATTGGAGGTCTAGCAATCAACCATGATTGTTAGGTGACGGTCGATTCCATTAATGGTTTGATGACATCACTGCTGATCTCCCAGAGAAAAAGTCGCAGGTTCGAGTCACATTCCTATCAAGGATGTTAGCATTAACTAAAGCAGATACTATAACATGTTTAGAAGAATGTCCCTAAAAAACTGGATTTCTGAACAGGTTTAGCTATTTACGGTCAATTATCTATCAAAAGTATTATCAAAACTGGATGCTGGTTATTTTCAAAAAAAAAAAAACTGCATGCTGGTTAAGTGGCTTGAAGGACCAAAATTGGTTTTAAAAAATCCACTACTTATACACACTTTTATACTTACGTTTGTGATCGAGAAAGTTTTTTTTTTGTATTTGAACCTAATTAGTTTTAAAAAATCAAGTTTGCTACTTTTACACACTTCTATACTTACGTCTGCGAGAAAGTTTTTTTTGTCTTTAAACCTAGTTCACAACGAAAAATAATCTTTCTCACGAAGTATCAAAGTGGCTACAAACACAAATTTTTCAAACAAAAACGTATGCTCTACATTTCTACGGAGAATGTGGAAGTTGTTGGGCATCAAAAGGTATAAAATTAAATGATCATGAATATTCATGATAAAGTTATTAATTACATAACTATTACCGATATTTTATAATCTCATTGGACTTGAATACCAACGCCTAGCATTGAACATGAACCAAAAGGAAAAATTATATCAACTCGTCTTCATTCTCTAATGAAGTTTTGTTAGGTGTACACATTTTGATATACACTTTTTATACATTCATCTGTCTCACGCACACAGAGTTTCCCGTCCATAGACAATTTTACAGAGTTGTCTGTGGAAATAACACTTTGTGTACATGAGACAAACCAGTATACAAAAGGCGTATACTAAAAAAGTGTATACCCAACATTTTTCTTTTGTAATATGTGATGGCGACATTCTTGTTTTAGGATGATATTCTCGTGGGTTCGTAACTTTTATAAAATAGGTTCATTTTTGCAATTTATTTCCATTTCTTACTCTTACAGTCTTACCAGGTGACGCAAAAAAGTTATATTCCTAATTTCCTACGGAGTATTTGATAAGTTTCTCTGTATTTCAGCTAATCCATCATAATCTTGTCCAGTTTGGAATTGCATCAATAGAAAAAAGGACTCCCTATCACATTGCTAAGGTAATTAGGAACATATACTGCTTACATGATAATTTCAATCTTCAAATAATTCTTATACTGCAAAGGCTTAACCACCAATAATTGGTAATTAGTTAAAAAATCAAACTTCGTAGAGTAGTGATGTTTTCGATCTTTACTAACATGATTTCAATTTGTTTGTTTACGTTTAATAACACTTGATTTGAGTCGGATGCACTCTAGGTAGTACAAAGGATCGCAGCTTCGGATGGAGTCTCTTATGATGATAAATTGATAATATTTTTGCTGAAATTAGACATATGATAGCTAGTTTTGCTACTTTAAATGTCCACTATGTGCAGCGATCAGCGAATCGGGTTGCTCATGCTTTAGCACCGCAGGCCGTTTTGGAATCTGGGAACCCCACCAGATTGTACTGTTAACTTGTTGCGGTTTGATTGTTAATGACATGTTATTTGGTTTTCAAAAAAAAAAAAGAAAAACACTTGATTTAACTGTTTGTCAAGAAAAAAATAATGTAAAAAACAAAAGTCACTCAAATTAGTTTTTCACAATGACGTTTTACTATACTTTAATTAAAGAAATAATTACACAAATATGATTGCAATAAAGACTGTTTACAAAAATGAGACTAGTGACTAGAGTAGTAATGAAATCATAATAGCTTATGTTCAATTTTTAAACTTAAGTTATCATGATTCTACATTGTAGTAACTATTAATCATATTTGTGTAAAAAATCATACTTTAAAATCCTGGTATACCCTCCAATTTGAACTCATCCATTAATTATTATTTAATAATATATAAAAAATGAAATAAAATGAAAATAATTAAGACAGTATAATAACAACGATAAGAAATATCACCATGAAAGTTATTGCGATTATTTTGAAATATCACCATGAATTTATATGTTTGCGTATGTGCATGTAGATATATTCTTAAAAAGTTAAGTTAAATACTCGTATATATTCTTATCTGTATCCTTAAAAATCATTTTATGACTTAACAGCCAATCGTGAATACTAAGAGCATCTCCAATGCATTGATGTTAACATTAAAAAAAGATGGCCACGTCACACGGGAAGAAAGTCGCTCTAATTTTTCTGCTCCAATGCTTTCTTTCCTCGGTCATGTGATGCTGAAGTGTCAAAAATATATATAAATGCCGACGTTGTGAAGCTCACTTTCTCATTCTAAACAGTCTGTTAAACAGGCTGACTCACCGAAATAAACACATCGTGGGTATGAAGGAGGATCTTTGAGGGAAAAAACGGTGCTCATCTCCTAGAATCGAGCGCCTCAACTATATTGTACATCCTGATACAAATCCTCCTCAAGCAAGAAAAGCCATTTATCATACTCAGCCCTTTTCCCATAACCATGCTCGATTCAATAGCTGCTTTTAACCTCCCTAAAAGCATTTGCTGAGATGAAACAGTTGACGTTAGACTTCTTGAGGATGGACCTACGAATAAAAAGAAATACTGAAAATTAATTATTCGATAAATGATTTTTCTAACTAAATGAGAAGCAGGCATGGTTTCTTGTAAAATCAGTTACACCATTACAGAAGATAAGCATGGTTAATTAAATTCTAATTAAAAGTCCGGACGTCAACACAAATGCATTGGAGAGGTTTTTGACGATTTCATAATTTGGGTTTTGACATTCATTCCATGTGGATAGACAATCCATACATTAATTGACACTTGTCACAATTTTTGCAATGTTAAAGCTTTGCATTGGAGATGTTCTAAGCTACTAAAAAGTTTACTTCAATTTTAATGATAGGTACTAACCAAAACTACTAACTTCATATCAGATTGCTAAAAACTAATGATTGCTTAAGACGTCCAATTTGAATGCTAAAGACCACTAATGGAATCGGCTGTCACCTAACAATCAAGGTTGATTGCTAAAGACCTCCCATTTGATTTTGAATAATTAATGGTGGAAGTTAATAAAAATGTGACTTAATATTAAAATAAGAGATTCTTCCGGAAAAAAAAGAAATGAAAATAAGAGATTAAATGTGAGACGAAAGGGAGAATAAATTGAACTTAGACTCACAAATTCCGGTCCCATATATGGAACCGAAACCAAGTATAAACCAGTTGTGTGTGCTGATTTTGGTCTGATCTCGAAAGGTGTTAAGTAGGCCTGGACTCGGGCCGGTTCGGGCCCGGGCCCGGCCGGGCCTCGGGCCAGGAAAGTTGGGCCCGGGCCCGAACCGCCGGTGGGCGGTTCCGGGCCAAACCGGGCCGGGCCGGGCCGGGCCTAACCGGTTATAATTTTTTTTTTTGGCTCTTCTATTTAACCCCCAACCCCTCCCCCTCAACCCCAAACCACCCCAAACCACCTCAAATGGCCCAAAATACCTAATCCAACCCAAAACTTAAAAAAAATTCAAAAAAAAAAAAAATTAAAAACCGGCCCGAACCGGCCGGGCCGGTTCGCCAAAACCTGGGCCCGAGCCCGAACCGCCCAGCAGCCGGGCCGGGCCGGTTCCGGGCCGCCCGGCCCGAGTCCACCCCTAGTGTTAAGCGCTACTCTGAATAGTATGAACCCGTAACCCTTAACCCTTAACTTTCTACCAATTTCACATTGATAGTATGAACCCTTAACCCTTAATTTCAGCTTATGAGTCATACCCGTCAACGTTTTCTATCATACACGTAATTTTTGATTTTATGCACTGAATTGTATAATAATCAAAATAAGTAACTCACATTGAAACGTAACTTAAGTCAAGTTGAAATGTACATTGTCTAAAACAAAATATAAGAAGTAAAACATTGACTTCAATGTAAACAATGAAAAAAGAAGTTTAATTGCCCAATTATTTTACATATATAGTAAATATGTTTTATTTTTAATATCAGATCTATAAAAATGATTTTTAATAAAAAAAATCATTTTTGCTTCAATAGCATATGTTTATCTTGTTGTGTAACTCACATTGTTTTGTGATGTAACTTGTATTATGGCAAATATAAATCACCTATAAGCAAGATGCAATTTATTGAGGAAAATTGAAATGCAACTCATGTTAATAGATATGTAAGTTGAGATAAATGGAAATGTAAATCATTTTAATAAAAATGTAACTTTTTTAGATTTCATTTTCAAAAAATACAAACTGAGAGAACTTGAGCTATAGGAAAGTCTCTACCGGACACCAAATCATCATTTCAGGGTTAGAAGCTGGAAGTTCAAATGCATAAAAGTGGAGTTATTGGCAGCCACAACAGCATGGATGTCACTCATATGCATTAGGGATGGACTCGGGCCGGGCCAACCGGCCCGGAACCGGACCGGCCCGCTACTGTGCGGGCCCGGACCGGCCCGGTGAACCGGTTCGGTTCCGGTTCGGGCCTCCCGGCCCGGTGGTATACCGGTCCGGGCCCGGGCCTCCAGTTTAGTGAACCGGCCCGGCCGGGCCGGGCCCGGTTCGGGCCGGAATTTAATTTTTTTTTTTTTGAAATTTTTTTAAGTTTTGGGTTGGATTAGGTATTTTGGGCCATTTGAGGTGGTTTGGGGTGGAGGGGGAGGGGTAGGGGGTTAAATAAGAGAAGAAGAAGAAGAAAAAAAAAAACATTCCGGGTGGCCCGGCCCGGCCCGGCCCGGTTCTGGCCCGGAACCGGAACCGGAACCGCCCACCACCGGTTCGGGCTCGGGCCTCCTTTTTCTGAACCGAGGCCCGGCCGGGCCCAGGCCCGAACCGGGCCCGAACTGGAACCGGTCCACCCCTAATATGCATAAAGGCAACTTGTGGTGGTTATTGCTTGAAGGCTATTGTCATGGTAGATTTAGTGTTAGTTTTTATCCGTGGAGGAGGATAAGAGTGGCTGAGATAGAGATTTGTTTGCGGATGGCTTGGTAGGGGATGTCTCAAAAGATCGGGATCAACAACTTCCAATGCTTCTTTCTAGCTCCAAATCGAATATGCTAGCCTGCTAGGGCACTATGGATTTAGAATCAGGACACCGTCCGCACGGAGGGCCGATCCCACAATATAATTTGCGGGATGTAATACCAAATGCTCTAACTTTTCTATCCTGTTTAAGAAATATACACATCATTTTTTTTTCGAGCTGTACATATGTCTCGCGCATTAGATATAGATTACAAACAAAATAACGTGCTCCACACCCCTCTTCTACTCTTCGAATAATCATTCTCATTCTTCATCCACTTCCAGTTCGAACTCATCAATTTCTTCGAAATAAGCCTTTTGCCTCTATAAAATCTGTCCAAAGAACCTGCAGTGAAAAACTGCTTCCGTGAACGCCTATTCTGCAAAAAATAAGTTGAGTTAGGTGCGTAGTCCTTCGGGTATTGCCACACCATGAAATTGTATAAATGAAGTATAAATGAAGTTGATGAAATTGTTAAATTATGTAGCTGAAGTACTAAAAAAAGAAGTATGCTTTATTGCTAATAAATACTAGTAGAAGAATATACAAAGGACTATAACAATTGTCCTCGACAACTCAAAAAAGTATTTGCAGTCCTACTTTTTCTCATAAGTAACCAGTTCAACCCACACAAATGACACAATCAATACATTAGTTTTTGATACGCAAAAATCTTGATAATAAGAAAAAATGACTACCATACATCAACTACCATTTATAGGAATGGCAAAAAGTCATAATGATTAGGGAAAACTGAGAAAAATACTACCTGAAGCACTTCTTATTTTATACCACCAATTACCAACAAATGGGAAGCAAGATTATAAATGGGCCTACCATATGAGGGTTATTTACATACCTTAGGAAGCTTTATATTGGGATGAGTCATCAATCCTAATGGCTCAACTTCACTAGCTTCAATGACATTGCTCCTACGAAAGAAATATTATTTACATAGGGCATCAGTACTGGAATCATGAAAGTATTTTGCTTCTTTAATCTTAACGAAACCATATCTTTTGTAAGTTAGTTCAGAGGAGACTGATAATAACTTATCAAACTTGGCAAGGTGAAATTAGTATAGAGAAACAAAAGATAAAAATTAAATGTTTTGAATACTGAGTAAGAATCCTCACATTAGACAACTAGGCCAAGAAACAGGTTATCTCAAATAAGATGCACAGCTTCCTACACTTTCGTTCCCGTTTCTATAAATATGAAAGATTCATACTCCAATGTGTATTTGGTTGGAAGATTATTTGTCACCAAGAATATATGTAATTCGAGATACAACGTTCTACTTCGTATTATACAAGAACAGTAATCAAGAAGTTGAAACCGTAAAATTTGAATCACACAAATTTGAACAAATAAAGACAAACGTAGTAAAAAATTCTGGCATGCTGGCTGAAATATAAACCCTCCATTTTCAAATAGCTATCCAGTTGTCATTCTTTAACTAGCATACCCGTATTATTTATGGGTACTAAGAGTAAAAAGGCAAACGTGAAGTTGTGAAATAATTATAGGAGAGTAATTTAGTCATTTCGAAAAGATTTACTCTACATCTATGCTCAATGGAAAGTTATTTGTGAATAAAATGTTTTTACTTAACAGGGACTTGTTGGAGAACAGAGTGAGTACATGATTTAACCAAATATATAAGTTAGTCTCTGGTGTAATGCTAACAGGTAAATATAAATTAGTTAATAAAGATTGATCCTCTTCTACCGTCCAAAAAACCCCTAAACAAACAAGACCTAATCACCTAAATGTTACAGCAGAGATATGACATCAAAAGGTATTGCAGCTGCAGTAGCAATGCTAGCATACCTTCATGTCAATATAATAGGCCTTCTCCACAACAACTTCTGCTGCTAGGCATGCAACATTTTCTTACTAAATTCCAAACATAACCAATCCTAGAGTTCAGGTCAGTTTCCCCATAAACAGTAGTCAATGACGAGATATGGTGCACGCCATATGCGCCATCTCCATAAAAAAGTGGTCGTTTCCATAGCGCCATGCGCCATGAAAAATGCCTTTGAGTCAACTAACTTTTCCCTGGTAAAAAAATCATCCAATCACCAGGGGGATTGTTTTCGTGGTTTTCCCAAAGCAGGACTTATGTGAGAAAGAGTGGATTCACTTGGAGTAAAGCCTTTTTCATTCATCTCATGAAGTAACCTCTTCACCTCAGCATGGCAAGACACTCTAAAATATCTATCAAGTTGTAAATGTTTCGATAGCTTGCACCATCCAGAAACAAGTATGTCATATGTTGAAGCATTTGGTTGCACTCCCCTACCTTGCATCTCAAGCATGAGTTCTTGAGCTTGTTTCATCTTCCCAACCTTGGCAAACTCACTCATAAGCACATTATAAGTACTAATACGAGGGACAAAGCCTTTTGTTATCATTTCACAGTAGGCCATTATGGCTTCCTTTTTATATCCCATCTTTCCATACCCTGAGACTAAAGTGTCAAATGTGTTAGCATTAAGGACAAGACCTCTTAGCCTCATATCCTCAAGTAAGACAGTTACTTCTTGAAACATTCTAGAAGCAGTAAGACCTTCAAAAAGATGATTGTATGTTGCAACATTAGGAGAAACTCCTTCAACAAGCATCTTAGAATATGTTTCTAAGGCTTTATTAGTAACGGATATTTTACAATATCCTTGAATAAATGAGTTGTAAGTAATAACGTCAGGGGAAAATCCCCCTTCTCTCATTTTCTCTAGTTGTGATGTTGCACATGCAGTCATCCCTAGCCTGCAAAATGTACTTATCAGGGTGTTGTGAACTGTTTGGTCAACCTTAAGTCCCATGCTTATGAGTCGTTTATGCATTCCTAGAATCCTCTCAGCTTTTCTCTCTTTAGATGCAACACCAATCAAGACTTTATAAATGGATCGGGTAGGCTGAAGACCCATTCTCTGCATCTCATTTAACAATTCCATCACTTTATCGATTTCGCCAACTTCACACAGTCCCCTCAGCATAATATTACATGTAACTGAATTGGGCTTTAGTCCATGGCCACTAATCTCATTCCAAAGATTGAAAGCTTTTTCCAGTTTACCTTCCTTGCAGCAAGCATGGATCATAGTGTTGAAAGACAAAAGGTCAGGAACTAAACCAAAGCGTTTCATTTCACTGTAAATAGAGTACACTTCATATTCCCCACTCCGTAACAGCCCATTCAGCACTACATTGTAAGCAACTGTATCAAACCCTAAACCTGTGTCTTTCATCTCTTGGGCCAATTCAAGAGCAGCTGAGTGTTTCCCTGATTTAAATAACCCATCCATCAGTGATGTATAGTTAACAAGATCAGGTTTGACACCCGAAGATACCATGTCTCGTAGTATGGCCTCTGCTTCTTCGATCTTTCCTTGCCTTTTAAAATTATTTACGAAAGCGTCCAGTACAAAATTATTATCTAATATTCCGCATGATTTCATCTCCTCATAGAGGGAAAGAGCCACGTCTTGCTTACCAGCCTTGAAGCACCCGTCAATCATATTACCATAAGTGAATACGTTAGGCATGACGTTATTGTGCACCATCTTCTTCATGGAAGCCATAGCTGCATCAGGAATTCCCCTTTTGACATAGCCATTAATTAAAGCAGAAAATGCAAAAATATTGGGCACAACCTTTTTCTGTTCCATTTCTTGCAAAAGAAACTCTGCACTCTCCATGTCTCCAGATTTGATCCGGCCATCTAATAATGCTGTATAAGTGATATAGTTTGGATCCATATTAAAATTTATAAAAGTTTGATACATTCTCTCCGCATCCCTAGCTTTCCCCGCCTTAAACAACCCATACATCAAACTGGTCAATACCACATTATCAAAGCTTATTCCATGAACCACCATTTGGCATTGAAGGGCAGAAGCAGTGCATACATCCCCGTGTTTAAGCAAATAATCAATCAAAATAGAGTATGTAATATGATTAGGGTCCACCCCGACGATCTTCATCTCCTCAAAGAGTTGTTTGGCATCAAGAATCCTTCCGCATTGGCAAAGTCCGTGTATTAGGGAACTATAAGTAACAAGATCTGGGAGTAACCCATTCTTAGTCATCTCTTCATACATACATAGTGCTTTATCCATTTTGGACTGCTTACTATAGTTACTTATAAGTGTTGTATATGTAATGACATTAGGTTTTATAAATAACATTCTATCCAAATTTTCAGTGGAGTTAACATTACCATACTCCAGGAGTTCTTCCATTAGACTCTTGGCAGTAGCAAAATCTCCCATTTTGCAGAATCCATTAATCAAAATATTGTAAGTAACAATGTCAGGCAACACACCCACGTGACCCATACCTTCTGCAATCTCAAGACCATCACTCACTTCATGAGCCTTAAAATAGCCATGTATAATGGTGTTTAACCCCACAATATCTTTAGAAATTGCCTGATCGGCATGACAAAACATTTCCATCACCCATCTTGCTTTTAGCAGCAAACCCATTTCGCAGAACCCCTTGATTAGTATATTACAAGTGAAATTGTCAACAGAAATATCCCTCTTGACCATTTCACATACCAGCCCGAACCCAGCCTCTACAAGCCCCTTTCTGCAAAAGCCCCATATCAAAGTATTGTAACTAACATTATCACTCTCGTTCTTCCTAACTAACTCAATAGCCTGTTCAGTGTTCCCTATTTTGCAGAGAGAATGTATCACTATGTTTCGGGTGTGCACATTTGGAATAACTCCACAAGAGAGCATATCAAAGTACAGAAGCATCACCTGATCAACATCCCCGAAAATGTTGAACTGCAGCAATAGGCGGTTCCAGAAACGGAGGTCGGGGACCAAATTGCAACCCCGCATGGTGGAGAATGCGGCATGTGCCATCGAGAACCGGCGGCAGCGGAGGAAGATGTGGATGAGGGTACAGAAGAATGAAACGTAGAGATGGGACTTCTCCGGCGATATCATGAACTTTGAATTCTGAGAGGTGGAACACATCCTTGATTGCTGCGCCAATGAGAGTGAACTAACACTCTTTATATTGGCTATAAGATGTTTGACAAATTGTCTCTTACACATTATCATCATGTAAGACTAATTCCTTGCTTTGCCACAAGCTTTCTCATGAAGGGTCATCAGACTAGAGTGCAGGGGAATGCAGCGTTGTGCTAAAGGAGTTTAATTTTTAGTTGCAGTAAGTCAGTAACCCCTCAGAATCAACACTCAACGAAAACAAAAACAAAACAAGAGGTATATTTGTACGCATAAAAAAAACGTATTTCACACTTGAAATGAAATTTAAAAGGTTTTGGATTTGAATCTTGGAGACACGGTCAAATTGAAATTTAGGGTTTTTCGATTAACAAACTCGAGCCGTGGCAAAGCCACTCTCTTGCGCGGGTGTTCCTATTATCTACTGAACTTTGTGCATGCGCAGAATTGGGAAAATATGCAAATAGGCCAATGTACTAACAAAAAAAAGTCATATAAGCCCTTATTTAGGAGGATCTGTCCAGCCGTCGTCATTTGGGGTGGTTCTCGGTAGAATTTTTTGATGAATTTTTTTGAGCATCTTATTTATCAATTCTAATTTACTCATACCAAATTTCAGCTAAAACTTCAATCGGGAAGGCATTCAAATGAATTCTTGAAGATCACTGTGATTCTAACTGCGCAGTTATTTTCAAGAATTCATTTGAATGCCTTACCGATTGAATTTTTAGCTGAAATTTGGTATGAGTAAACTAGACTTGATGAATAAGATGCTCAAAAAATTTTATCAAAAAATTCCACCGGAAACCACCCCAAATGACGACGGCGGACAGAGCCTCCTAAATAAGGGCTTATTTGACCCTTTTTTGTTAGCACATAGGCCTATTTGCACCTTTTCCCATGCAGAATTTGTGTAATAATTTATTTTGCTTTACTTATAACTTATAAGGACGTCGTACCAAAAAAAACAAGAACGTTTTTATTAATATTGAAATTTGGCTGTGTTAAGTCTGGTCTCAAAATATCTGGTCTAATGTATTTTATCTGGTTTGTAATGTTTTGTCTCTATGTATTTTATAATTATGGAAGTCTGGTCTGATATGTTTAAGTTCGATCTGGTCTCATTTGATCTGCTTAAATTTGGTCTGATTTGATGTGAAATTAAAACTGGTCCAAGTAAAAACAATTCTAAAATGTTTCTTACTTTTGACTTTGTGTTGAAATATTTCTAACTTTGGACTCTATGTGTTGTCTTTTGTTAAAACCCGGAATTCCACCCTTAAAAGGTCATTCTTTAGGAATATCATTCTTAAAAGGTCGACCTGATAGGAGGAGTGATTCATGTCTTAATATAGCACTTTGTTGATTAAAACTTGAGCAAGAGCTTTTGCCACTTTTACTCTTTTAGTCCCTGACTATTGTGTCATTGACACTTTTGGTACTCGACTTTTAATATTTTCATTTTTAGTCCCGACTATTGTGCTAGAGACACTTTTGGTACTTATCTTTGAAAATTTCCGTATTTAGTCCTTCGACTTTTGTAAAAGTGACACTTTTGATCCTTCAACTATTGCAATAGATACATTTTTAGTCTTCCACTTATTGTGTCAAAATCATAGCAAAAGGATTAAAAGTGTCAATTTGATAGTACTCAAAGGACTAAATGTGAGAAACTTGGAAGTCAAGGACTAAAAGTGTCTCTCGCACAATAGTCGAGGATTAAAAATGGAAAAATTAAAAGCCGTGTACCAAAAGTGTCACTGACACAATAGTCGGGGACCAAAAGTGGCAATAACTCATTCAAACTTTTATGGTGCGAAACTTTAACATCTTTTCTAGAAAAAATGTATACAATTTTTGCAGCAACCAATACTATTATTCAAAATATTAATTGTAAAGTATTTTTTTTTTAGGGAATTGTAAAGTAATTTTGATCACACACAAAGCTCAAATGTTGATCGTTTTAACAATGTTAATGTTGGAGGTATTGGTCCTACCAAGGCCTCCCTTCCACTTTATTTGTTGAGGCTTGCACACTCTACTTTATTCTCCCTTGGATACCTTTTCTTTGGTATATATCCTGATCAAATATATACCTATTTTGAGTAGTTGACTTAATCCACTTGGCTGGCCCCTTCTCTGCTTCCTGTCCGCTGCACTCCTTGTCTATGTATCATGTGAGGCTTTTTTGTATAGCTTCACCCGTGACCCATTTGTCTTGGTCTTACATGTGACTTTCTATCTGTCATCCAGCCTGCTATATAGAAGCCTTGCTTCTCCCTTTGTTGAGCAGCCTGCGTGAGTGAGTATACTTCCAGAGAGCAGAGCTCCCTTTCTTCCTCCTTTGTGTGAGCATAAGTTAGGTCCTTAGTGGAGAGAAAAATATGTGTGTGCTATAGCCTCCTCCTAAGTGTGGTGTGTGAGAGTGTGTGTTGAAAGACCTGAGCCGGAGACGGATATACGATCCTTACAGTTAAGTCTTGAATCAAGTAATTTTGCAAGAGCTAGAATGTGCTGAAAACTTTGATGTGTTGCCAGTTAACAACTTAGCCGTATTCATGGGGCTTTAATTTGTAAATCTGAAGTAGATGCGATAAAGACGATTTGCTCTCTTCTGTAAAAAAAAACACGGAAGAAAGTCTAGCATAGCCCACCAGCAGGGTCCAGCTCATTGTAGAGCAGATAGAAGAAGGGAGAATTGCTAGCTTCTACTCTATCATAGGCATGGACCCGGTCCGACCGGCCCGGGAACCGGACCGGCACGCTACTGTGCGGGACCGGCCCGGACCGGGAAACCGGTTCCGGTTCCGGGCCTAGACCCGGCCCAAGGGGGTAAGAGTGGGAGATTCCGGTGCATGGAAAAGGTGAACCGGCCCGGCCGGTCCGGGCCCGGTCCGGACCTTTTTTGTGAGTTTGGGCTGGGTTTAGGTGGGCTGGGTGATTCCGAGGGGTTTGGGGGGGTGGGGGGGTGGGGGGTAAGAGTTGAAATAAATAATAAAACACAAAAAAAAAAAAAAAAAAAAAAAAACGGAACCGGTAGCCTACCGGGCCGGTCTCGGGCCTTACCCTAAACCTTCCACGCACGGCCGGGCCTAGGCCTGAACCGGAACCGGACCGGGCCCGGTCCACCACTACTCTATCATCTTCCACTTCACATATTACTCCTATAAGTTACTAACCTTATAATCTATTCTTGTAAATAGATGAGCTGGTCAAGTGGTGAAAAGTTTGGATGAATGATCAAAAATCAAAACTCGTAATAATCATTAGGAGATTGATTAACCCCATGCATACAAGACTAGATCTCTAATATCACTATTTGTTGATTGAGTTATCATGATTTACAAACTCTCTTAGACACTTTTGGGATTAAGATCAAACTTTTGGAGGAATGTTACTACCATCATTATTTGACGAGTAGGGCCCATGAAAAGGTGGAATTACGACTTTGTGATGTTGTGATGACTCTATAATGACCTCACACCTAGATTTAAAAACCAAAGGGACAATTTATAAACTAATTCGTAAGAGAGTTAACATGTGAAGCTGCATCCAAAACAGGTTAAACAGCAAAAGAGTTATAAAAAGATCTTTGATTATTAACAAAAAGACCATTTTTCCAGTTCTTACATAGTGTAATTATTTATAACAATTTTCAAAAATAATAAATTAATTTCAATAACATAAGTAAAATCTTCTTTAAAAAATAACATATGTAATATTACCTTTGTCTTATAAATAAGGCTGGTCAACTTTCATAACTTGCACGAAGAAAAATTGTGATTAAAATTTGTGGAGAAAAAAATTGAGTGAACTACAAATTTATTAATTTTAAAGGAAAAACTAGTTTTGTACCCGGGCGTTGCCCAGGGTGCAACTCCCATATAAAATATTTATTTTATAATTTTGTGTGTGTATGAAATATATATTTCGTATGAACTTTGTAATTTTGATTGCCAAAATTAAAGCATTGAAATATGTATTAATTTGATACTGTATAGTATTAATAGTATTATGGTGTTAGAGGAAAATTCAAGTTCTTTAGAACAAATCAAAATCTTCTATCCTTCTTTGCTCTTGATAAGGAAACATATAATTGATCGTGAGTGAAGACATTTTTTTGAGATATAGCCCGACTTGAGATAAAGACTAACTTTGGCTCTTGTTGATGATCATCGCAAAACATAACGTAACTTGTAATTGCTTCCTCAGAAAACTATAAGGTAGTGTTACGTCAAATGGAGACAACGACACTCTGGAAATGTGATCAGTGTCCCCCATATTTCTTCCAGTGATGATCTTTACTTCTACACATGTTTTGCAAGTTTAGTGAGAGTCAACGTGGTTCCATTATAATTCGTGATCAGCACTACGCCAAAAATGGCCTTTTTCAACATATAAAAACAGTCAAAAATTGGGTTTTTCGACAGTTTTGGTCTGTCAAAGAGGGTGTCGAAAAAAAGAGTCAAAAAATTATTCGACTGGTTTCACTTGTTGATATAGAACCATGAATAACGACTGCTTCAAACCGTCGTAGTTTATCAACATCACATAGCAATCAAAAACAGCTTCTAGTGTATAAAATCACACTGGTACGTTTTAGTTCTAGTAATATGTATTTATATTTTATTTATTATGCACACCAATAATATACACAGTTGCAATAAAATCAAACAGAGCAAAAATAAAGTGATAATTTCAATCATCAATAAAAATATTCAATTGAAATCGAGTGGTCTTCAATACTTTGAACATCAAGATCCATTAATACACAATTACACATGGTCCAAATTCCACTTAACTAGTATTCGAGTAGTACCCAAATAGCATATCAAATACTTCAAACTAAAAAAACTAAAAGATCAATAGCGTTTCAAAATAGCATTGAACCACAATACGACTTCAAACTTCTCATATCGCTCGTATATAGGTACTAACTACCATCCAAGATCTTATTGATAATGATACTATAAGCTTCATTTGGCAGAGCTTCCAAATTTGAGTGTCCATAAGCAATAACCTTTTTCAAGTTTTTGAAAAGCACGCCATTGAAGTAAGATCAGATTCACCTCTCTGCAATCATGAGACAACATCACTCAGAAATTCATTTTAAGAAACTCAACAATAAATTAGATCAGAACGTGCAGTAATTAATATTTTAATAATTTAAACGCATTGCACTGGAACTCTTTCTTGCAAAACAATACATTATGACCTGTATATCGTTCAACCAACGTCCACCCAGAAATATGTAAAATACAAATAAACAATGAATCCAAATCTGATACTTCGTATATAATATATTCATTGATTACAAAAAGCATATATATTTAGTCAAAAAGAGGGAAAAAGTCACATAAGGTAGTAAGGGAGAAGGTTTAGAATGATTAGATATATCTAAAGTAAA